TGCGTGGCGGCATCTCTGGTGTTGGATACACGGAGGATCCTCTTGCCATTGGCACAACGCTGCTGGACGAAGATGTGGGTCGTCACGTGGTGTTTGTCATTTACAGCAGTGGTGTACTCCGCGGTGGATGGTTCAGTGAGCCGGATCTTCTTTGCCGCGATCTCATGCGGCGACAGATGGACTTCATAATACACCTCGATGCCGCATTTTCGCCCTCTTTATCGCTGCCGTGTTTTCCATCCGTAGCGCACTTCGTTGGCGTGCACTCATGCAAAAATGCAACTCTTATCCGCTACAATGAAAGCGCATACCTGTGTGTATGGCCAACGTGGTCGCGCAAGGCTGCAGGTTGGGTGTACCGCGAAGAGGATCAAGAGGGCTGTTTGCGGGTGCCGGTGGCCAGCCAAAGCGCCGTCATGCCAGAGCCTGTTGTTCTTCGACTCCCGTATAATGTTAACGGGAAAAGCGTCGCAGTTGGTGCCAACGACATTCTCATTTTTCCGGAAACCACCGCCGCCGTTCCTTTGGAGGGAAATGCGTGCCCACGTTTGAAGGCGGTTATTGCAAAGATAGCCAACCTACTGCTGGCAGCGATTTATGCCAGAAGCGAAAAGTATAATTTGACGTTTGACACAGTCACAACTGTGACCAATGAGAAGAAGAATAAAAAAAAGCAGAGCCCGGAGCGTGAGTGCTTGGAGAGGCTCTTGGAACTTACTGCGGAAGGTTATAGGCGCTGGTTGTGTGGCTATCCACATGAAGCCAAAGACAGTATCACTGTTGAATTGGCCAAAGGAGTGCAAGCCGCCCATGGTGATTTCTTGGCCCGCCAGAATGCGTTAGAGAAACGGGAAGAAGAACTTACCACACGTGTACAGAGGCTATTGCAGAAACAGAAAGAGTTGTCGAAAGGCATTGTTCACTCGCAGGGCATCATTCGGGATGCGGTGTTGCATCGATGTGGGGTGGACGCCTTTTATGGAGCCAACGATGCTCTGGGGAAGATCCATAAGCTCTTAAACGAGCTGGAATCGCTTGCCACCGTTCGAGGCAAAGCGAAACGGAAGGCGGAAGCGTCTTTATTGGTGTAGATGGAAGTGTGGAAAACGATCACAGACCGAGGTGTTTTTGGAGACCGCCTGCACGCACAGGCACACGCACAGGCAGCAGCGGTGGTTTTCTCCCCACTCACCTACCCACTCCTTTTAATATTACTGCTCATTCACCTGCCGCCGTCGTTTTTTGTTGTTGTTGTCGTCGTTTTATGTGTTTGTGTTGGTCTGTGGATTTACTCTGCCAAATATTTTTTGTCGTTTCTTTCTCTCTTTTTGCTGTTATTCGGTGAAGTCCGTTGCTGCCTCATACACGCGGAGTGGGGACTCCCAGCCAGGAGAGGGGAAAGGAAAAAGGGGAAGCAGGAGAGCGGTGTCCCCCGCGTGTGTCCAGCGCCGCGTAGGGGGTGTCAAGAAACAGCACAAGGAATTACAACGCCCAAGCATAGACGAAAACAGAAGCGCGGAGCAAACAGGGGAATAAATGTCGGAAGCGGGGCTGACGGCTGGCAACGCGCCGAATGGAAAGTCGCAGCTTGCTTTGGCCGGTGAGATTGAGGGGTCGGAGGAGCATCAGCGGGTGATGAGGGCTACGGATCTCCTCGAAGAAAACATGCGGTTAAAGGCGCGGCAGACGAAGCTGCAAGACCAGTTGGAGAGCCTGAAGCACCAGCTGCTTGCGGAGAGGAGTGCCCGACAGGGTCTTGGTGCCGAGTTGAGCGATATGACCGAGCGACTGCGGCGCACAAAGGACCAGGTTGACAAACAGAAGAAGGAATATAACGAGGTCTCCTTGAGACTGTGTGCTGTGACAGCGGAACGGGACGATCTGGAGTCAAAAGTGAGCGAGGTGTGGCGTAACATGGCTGCTATGGAGGAAACTGTGCGTGTCAAGGAATTAGAGAACAAGAAGCTTCGAGAGGCGCTTGATAACGAAAGGAAGGAACGGGAAGCTCAGGAGGTGCTGATGAACGCCATGGTTTCCCAGATAACTGCGTTAGAGCGACAAGTAGGAGTTAGCGAGGGCGCCGAAGAACTTCATCGGCGGCTTAGCGAGGATGCACTTTGCCGCGTTGGGAAAGAGGTGCAACGCGTCGCGCGCCGCTTGGAACGTGTTGCGGATATGTATTCCGCCTCATCACTCAATTGGGATCTCGATCAAAAACCGTTGCTGCTTCTTGCAGATGATGACGATATTGACCGCGGAGTTAATATTCATAAAGGAGATGATGATGATGATGATGATGATGATGACAAAGATTTTGCGGTCGCTGTGGCTGGCGATGGTCTAAACAAATCAGATGTTGAGAAGATGACGCCAAATGATTCCCTTTCAAAGCGGAAAAAACGCCTGTTGGGCCCAATTTACCAAGCGCTACGGCATCTTGAACGGCAACTTCAAATGCAACATGAGGAGAAACGCACCACGCAGCATGAGCGCCGTGTTCTTGAGTCCCACATTGCAGCGCTGAAGGACGAACTGCATCACTTGGGGAATGATGGGGACGACGTACGGGAAAGGCTGCTTAGGAGTGAGGCGCAAAGAGCGCAGGTGACAGAAACATTGCAGAAGACGCGCCAGGCGTGGGAGCACGAGGCGGCTCAAGTGACAGAAACACGGCGCAAAGCTGCCTCACTTCTTCACTGTATAGACGACTGGTGTGTAATCGAGCAGCGTATCTCTGATATGACTGAAGAGTTACGGCAACTGCGTTCTGCTGTCGAAGAGGGTCATCGGACGCACAAGGCGTATGTGATACAAAAAGAAGGGGAGATAGATGCCATGATAGAGTTGCACCAGCGCGAGGCAAATATTCAGAAAAATCAACTTGAACAGGTTCGTCATGAATGCGAACGATTCAAGCGAGCGGTTGCATCTGCTGTTATGGATAGTAGTCCTGTGAGTGCCGATGGTGCACCAGCGGGAATGCAGCGTGAGCATGATGCTTTCAGGGTGAAGTACCGAGAGCTGCTGCGGTACATGGAAGAGGAATTGGAGCCTCTGATAGCGGAACAGGCCAAGGCTCTACAGGAAGAAAGAAAACGAGCAGATGAGCTGCAACGCGCCAATGGCGCACTGCGACTTGAAATGAAACTGATGAATACTGCGCCTGGGGACGGCGGCGGGAGGCTGTCACTTTTTGAGGCACTTGTTCTCACCCTCCGTGTTTTGTCCGGTGCCATGGCAGACATGCGAGAGATGTCGCAGCAACGCAGAGCCCTGACCCGCTACATTCTTGCCTATGAACACATGTTTGGTGCGTTGAATCTATGTAGGGAATCGACGTGGCCTCGTTCAGTGTTGCGTTTCCGCAGGGCCGTCGTGGCAGTGCTGGCCGCACAACGGTTAATTGCATTTCGGAAGGCACCGTGGTGCAGTGGTGGCGTTATCCCGTCGGTGGAACGGGGCACTGCACGCATTCGTCTACCTCCCGAAACGTCTTGTTTGGTGATTGGGGGGCTTATTCGTCTCCCGCCGGTGGGAAGTGACGATACCGCGGAGGAATTTTTGAGGGAAGAAGCGGGAACAAAGAGAGAGGAAAAGAATGCTGTTACTTTTGTGGCTGAGCGGGACTTGCGGCTTCCTGCCATGAACAACATGGCCAGTACGAATTCTTTGGGTGAGGTGACCGTGCAGGGCCAGGCGCTGCGCGGCTTCATGGACAGTTTGCTTGCATTTGTGACGGTCCCGTCAGCGATTTGGCCGCTGCGCAATGTGAAGGAACCTCTGTGGCGGCGGCTGGCGACGGGGCTGCGTTCGCTGCGGCGAGTGTCAAGGCAGGACGGCGGACAATATGCACTTGAAAAGCCACGTCTTTTGTTGCACCTTCCACCACGAGTTCCGCTTCGGTCAGAATGGGGAGAAGCACCGCCAATTCTCTCGCAGGCTGCTAGCAATACGCAGTGGTCAACGATTTACAACCGCGAGGACTCACACGCTCTCGTGCAACCAACAGCACGCGAACTGTCAGATGCATTAAGGCGTGCACAGGAGACTGATGGGGAAAACGCTTCAACTGCATATCCGGCACCGCAACCCACAGCTTATCACGCAGAGGAAGCGTTAAGTCTTGAGGAGGCGATCCGTCAGTCCCTATTACGAGACGCAAAGTTCAGCAGCGACACGCAGGAAATTCAATCAGGGAGTGGCTTTGCCTCTGAGGTGCTGAACGTCATTCGAGCACTCGACCAGCGTGTGGTGGGGGCTTTGGAGAGACAAGCGAAGCTTGCAGAGCGTCGTCCGCATCGCTGAACGCGCTTCTGGGAGAGATTTGCTGATAGTATGTTACTTCTCTTTTTTTTTCCCCCTGCTTTGATACTTACTGTCATTGTTTGTGTTATATTGGTCCAACGTTTATTTTCTGCAAAAGTGGTCTTGTTTTGTAGTTGGAGAAGGGAATTGGGGGGTTTTTTCCTCGTGTTTTCTTCTGATTTTTTTTTGTGTGTGATTGCGGCCATCTTGTTTCTGGTGTTGCTGTATGGTCGAGCTCCCTACTTTAATGACTTTTTTTTTTTTTTGCTCTTTTCCCCTGTTGTTAATGGCACCGCGTCGTTGCTTGTCTTTGGCGTTGCTTTTCCGAACTGCCGCAAGTATGCGTGGGTTATCCACTCTCTACTGCTTGGCATGCGAGCGGGAAGGCTGCCTCGTGAACTCCCACTTCTTGGAGGTGTGCCGGGTGCTCGACACATCGGAGGAGTGCCCAACGGAGCTCGATTTCCGCGGGAATTATTTGGGCGATGCGGGGGCGGCGGCGATTGTTCGCACGGTGGCGATCATGCGATGGGTGCGTTTCATTGATCTTCGGGATAGCGGGGCGGGGGCGAAGACGGTAGAGGCGTTGGTGGCCGTCGCCGATGAGCACCCGAGCCTTCGTTGCGTGGACCTGCGCGGCGGAGGGAACGAGGTATTCGCGATGTCGGGACGGCGGTTGCTGGCAGCATTGGGCCGCTGTACAAAGTTGGTCGTTCATGTCAACTACGATGATCTTCCAGCGACGATGGCGCGTAAGCTGCAGGCAGTCAAGCAACGGAACGAACAGCTGCAGCGTGAGGAAGAGGCCGCGATGGAGGCCGAAAAAAGGGCACTAATGCCAGTGCTTGACTCACTTCAGGGCAAGGGTCACGAAGAGGATCTCTTCTACCTGCCGACGCATGACAGCGATGGAAACTCGCTCTACAGCGAGGACCCAAATCTATTGCCATCTGGTGGATAGCCTTACCACATACATGAGGGATTATTGGGAGAGCTATCAGTATGTTGGCCGCGTGGCGGCACTTTTAGCAGTCGATCTGGGTGCAGCGATTCTTCCATGCATTCGTGCGACAGCCGTTGCCGTGCCACCCTCTGTGGCGACGAGCACCGGACGTGTGTACCCACTAGATGTTGTTGCAACGATACGAGCAGTAGATGCCCTTCTTGGTGGATTACGCGCGAATCCATTTCTTCTCGAGGAACTGATTGAGACTCGCGGGCCTATTTTCGAGATGTATTTGAATAAACTGAGGGAAACACGTGGGGAGCACGAGTCGCTTGTGGCAAGCCGTTTGGGATTGTGTCCTTCCTACCAAGAAAAAATGTTGGTGGTTGAAATGCGCACCCTCTACAACCGGATCGTTGCGGGCATTGTTCAAAAGTCCATGGCAGACTTGCCATCGATGTGTCACGTGGAGGAGCATCTGCGCCGCGTGCGTGTCGAGGTGATAAACCGACTGCTGGAGGGAAGAGAACGTGTGCTGCCGGTTCTCATGGCACAGGTGCAGTACTTTGGGTACAATCATGCGAAGCGGACAACGAGGTGGGCCGAGGGGTATGCAACGAAAAAAGAGGAGTCACCACAGAACTCGGAGCGGATGGAGGGATCTGACGAAGAGGACGAGGAGGAGCCTGATGCTGTTGTCGATTCGTCGCCCGTTACCCCAAAGAGGGGCGCCAACATGTGCGTAGAGGCCATCTGTGAACTCCGTGAATTGTTGCAGGACAGTTACACGTCGCTTCGCTACGCCGTCACCAGGCCGTTGTTTGAGGCGCTTCCCATGGA